CCACGCCCCCGCCCCCGCCCCAGCCCCATCCCCCTGCTCCAGCCCTGGACCTGCTGCAGCCCGAGCTGGGGGAGCGGAGCGTGGCGGGGTGGGGAGGGGAGCGGGACGGGCGACCCAGGACACAGCGGCGCCGCGGCCTCTCCCCACCAGGCGGCCCGGATCCCACTGGACACCCCGAGGGCACACCGACCGCGCCTCTAGAGTCACCCCACGCCGACGCCGACCCCTCCCCTCCTCGCTAGGCTTCTTTCCATCCTCGCCTTTACCCTCCCCACCCCTCCCTGGGCTCCCGACTGCCGCCCTCTCCCCACTCCGGGACCGGCCCTTCTCGGCTCCCCTCTTCCTTAGAGAGATGCGATGAGCTGGTGCCCCCGCGTCCTCATCGCCGCCCCGGGCACGGTGCCCATCCAGTGCCCGTGGTGGGGAGGGAGCACCCCGCGGTCCTTCCGTGACTCCCCTCGCTTGGGTCCCCCCCCAGCTGGCGTCCCTGGGCCATGCCCCGGGGCACCCAGCCAGGGGGTGGGCTCTGGAGCGAGGGGGGTGGAGAGGAGAAAGGACGGGGCCTTGGGCGCCTCTGAGATGCTCCCAAGCACCAGGGGGGGTCGAGCTAGGCGCAGGCTACCGGGCGGCAGGCATGATGCCCTCGCCTAGTGACTCCAGCCGCTCGCTGACCAGCCGGCCCAGCACCCGGGGCCTTACCCATCTCCGCCTCCACCGACCCTGGCTGCAGGCCCTGCTCACGCTGGGGCTGGCCCAGGTGCTCCTGGGCATCCTGGTGGTCACCTTCAGCATGGTGGCCTCCTCCGTCACCACCACAGAGAGCATCAAGAGGTCCTGCCCGTCTTGGGCTGGGTTCTCGGTGAGTTGGGTGCACAGTCGTTGGGTGGGGGAGGCTCCTCAGGCCCCACCCTCTACACCAGCTGCAAGTCCACATTCTTGCCTCTCCTCCCTCTCCTGGTGCTTTCCCTCCCTACAGGGCTGGGGGCATCATGTGGTGAGGGGCTCACTCAGGTGCCTCCCCTCCCAGGCTGAGCCTGTGCCCACTCTGTCCCCAGCTGGCGTTCTCCGGGGTGGTTGGCATTGTGTCCTGGAAGCGGCCATTCACTCTAGTGGTAGGTGCCAGGGTCCAGTGCCCAGTGGGAGGCAGGTGCCAGCACCTGAGAGGATGCCCATATATGCCCTCAGGAAGGGAACTGGCTCCCAGTTGGTGCTGGGCATCAAGTGTCTGTGAAGGAGGGTGGCTCCATGGTATAGAGGCATACTCACACCGGTCCTAGCCCTGAGTCTGTACCCTGTTTCCTCAGATCTCCTTCTTCTCCTTGCTTTCGGTGCTCTGTGTCATGCTTAGCATGGCTGGCTCTGTTCTCTCCTGTAAGAATGCTCAGCTGGCCCGAGACTTCCGATCCTGCTCCTTGGTGAGATTTGAGGAGGGAGACCTGGAAAGAGCTGCCTGGGGAGGTGTGCTGGATACCTGGGTTTGTCCTGACTCAGGCTGCCTCACTCTCCCCACTTCCACTCAGGATGAAAAGGTCTGCGTGTGCTGTCCGCCTGTTCCCCTGGTTCGGCCCTGTCCAGAGTCGGGGGAGGGACTGAAGGTTGCCCTTAACTCTACCTGTGAAGAAGCCCGAGGAGCCCTCAAGGTGAGCATGTGCCCCCTAAACATCCTCCTGGAGTACTCACAGGCCCCAAATATTTCCCACTGCCCTGCTCCTTGCCTCCCTTTCCTAGAACCTGCTCTTCAGCGTCTGTGGGCTCACCATTTGTGCCGCCATAATCTGTACTCTCTCTGCTATTGTCTGCTGCATCCAGATCTTCTCTCTGGACCTCGTGCACACGGTGAGAGGGAGCTGGGGTCAGGGCCAGGCAGGTGTGGCAGGGGCGGGGGTATGTATGCTGGGTCTGGGCCTGAGGGAATGGTGGCTACAGATCTGGCTTCTGAGCACTAAGGGCTGTGGGCCATCTGTTAGGCACGTCTATTGGCGGGATGCTTGGGGGCCAGAGAGGGGTTAAGAAGGGGAGACAGCAGGGAGTCAGTTAAGGATGTGCTATCAGTCTGGGACCAGGAGAGGGGCTTTAGGGAGTAGGACTGGGTGGTAGGGTAGAATCAAGGAGGTTCTGGATGGAGGTGAGGATAAAGGGTGGACAGTCCTGCTGAGGCAGAGTACAGGTGGCAATTCTGGATGGAGGGGGGACCATAAAAGAGAAGGAACTTGTGGGTGGGCAGGGCCAAAGTTGGAGGTGCAGAGTGGGTGTGGGGTGAAGGAGAAGCTGGTTCTGGGCGAAGGAAGGGCCAGATAAAATAATACAAATGAGAGAAGGAGTTTGGGGCCAAGGAGGAGCTGTATGGCCAGAAACCAGGCCTGCTGACCTGCTCGCCCCTCAGCAGCTGGCTCCTGAGCGCTCAGTCTCAGGCCCTCTGGGGTCTCTGGGCTGTACTTCCTCACCCCCAGCCCCTCTCCTGCACACCACGCTGGACCTGGAGGAATTTGTACCACCTGTACCCCCTCCACCCTACTATCCCCCAGAGTACACCTGCAGCTCAGAAACAGATGCCCAGAGGTAAGGCCTGCTGGGGTCCTGTTAGGGGATCCTGGAAAGGGGACAGGGACTGGGCCTCGATTGGTGAGGAGGGATGCTTGTGAAGACTTATCTGACCCTCTGCTTCGTCTGCCAGCATCACGTACAATGGCTCCATGGACAGCCCAGTGCCCTTGTACCCTACTGATTGCCCGCCTTCCTATGAGGCTGTCATGGGGCTACGAGGAGACAGCCAGGTGAGAGCATGGCTTTGTATGGGCTGGGGAACTGGGAGAAAGCCTGAAAAGACTGTAGTTGCTGGGTAAAGATAATCACCCTGCTCATGATGTTTATAGTATCAGCACGTCCACTGTCATCTCTGATCTCTAGAGCCTGGGTAGGATAGGAACTGTTATTTCTAGCTTATACATGTGCAAGCTGAGGTCTGCGTAAGTGAAGTGACTTGTACAGCCAGGCACTGTGGCTCATGCCTGCAATGCCAGCACTTTGGGAGGCGGAGGCAAGAGGATTGTCTGAGCCTAGGGGTTCAAGACCCAGCACTTTGGGAGGCAGAGGCAAGAGGATTGTCTGAGCTCAGGGGTTCGAGACCAGCCTGGGCAATTTGGGGAGACCTCGTCTCTACAACAAATCAAAAAATTAGCTGGGTGTGGTAGTGCTCACCCGATTCCAACTTCTAGGAAGGCTGAGGTGGAAGGATCACCTGAGCCCAGCAGGTCAAGGCTACAGTGGCCGTGAGCTTGCCACTGCACTCCAGCCTGCATGACAGTGAGACTCTGACTCAGAAAAACAAACAAGTGACTTGTACAAAGTGACAAAGCTGGTCTAGAATCGAGGCCTCCAGAGCTGTCTAGTTCATGGGGGGAGCCATATCAGTGTGTAGGCTGGACTCTTGACTCCTGTGTCTTCTGCAGGCCACTCTCTTTGACCCTCAGCTTCATGATGGCTCTTGCATCTGTGAGCGAGTGGCCTCCATCGTAGATGGTGAGTAGAGAGTGGGGAGGGTGGACAAGGGCAGAGCTGCCAGGCACAGCAGGGCTGGGTGGAGCCAAAGAAAGGAAAAACAAGATTGAGTTGGTGGTTTGGGGACACGGGAGGGATGTGGCTTCTTGGAATTCGGGGCTTATTTGTCTTCTCTGAGATAAAGCTGGAGGCCAAGTGGCCTCCAGAGACCCGCCTTGGGAGAAGAGAAGCTGCCTGGGCAGGGTCGGGCCAGGCGGTGCTACCCAGCGCCCCCTGCCGCCCACAGTGTCCATGGACAGCGGGTCTCTGGTGCTGTCAGCCATCGGCGACCTCCCTGGGGGCTCCAGCCCGTCAGAGGACTCGTGCCTGCTGGAGCTGCAGGGCTCCGTGCGCTCCGTTGATTACGTGCTCTTCCGCTCTATCCAGCGCAGCCGCGCCGGCTACTGCCTCAGCCTGGACTGTGGCCTGCGGGGCCCCTTTGAGGACAGCCCCCTGCCACGGCGGCCCCCACGGGCTGCCCGCTCCTATTCCTGCTCTGCCCCTGAGGCTCCACCCCCACTGGGTGCCCCCACAGCTGCCCGCAGCTGCCACCGGCTGGAGGGCTGGCCACCCTGGGTGGGACCCTGCTTCCCCGAGCTGAGGCGGCGTGTCCCCCGAGGGAGCAGCCGTCCAGCCGCAGCCCCTCCCGCCCGAGCCCCAACTCGACGCTTCAGCGATAGCTCAGGTTCCCTTACCCCACCGGGGCACCGGCCTCCTCATCCGGCTTCCCCGCCGCCGCTGCTGCTGCCACGGTCCCACAGCGACCCAGGCATCACCACCTCCAGCGACACCGGTGAGCCCCTCTCCCCCACCACCCAGGTCAGGAGAGTGCAGGCACTGGGAGTTAGAGGGTCAGTGTTGCCCCCAGGATTTAGGACGCTATTGAGGTCCCTGAGGAAGATGAAAGGGCAGCTCGCTCCTACGTAGACACTCTTGAGCGCTTACTTCTTAGGGATGAGATCTATAGCTTAGAGGAAGACTTGTTTTTTGAAACCGGTTCCACAGCTCCCAGTTTGGGCCAATGACCTGTCCTCTCTAAGCCTCAGTCTCTCATTCGTGAAACAGATACAGGCTGGGTGCAGGGGCTCATGCCTGTAATCCAAGCACTTGGAAGGCCGAGGTGGGAGGATTGCTTGAGCCCAGGAGTTTGAGACCAGTGTAGGCAACATAGCAAGACCTCATCTGTACAAAAAAAAATAGAAAACATTTGCTAGGCGTGGTGGTGCATGCCTGTAGTTATAGCTACTTGGGAGGCTGAGGCAGAAGGA